GTCTGAACGAAAACGTATGGTGGGAACACACTGATTTTGATGAAAGTGTCTAAATGAGGCAAATGAAGCATCCTGCAATCAGACTCCCTCGGGTCCAGTGAGCATGGAGGCAAGACCAAGCCAGTCATTTTAGGGCAGTGGTTTTCAGCCTTGTTTCATTGGAAATTTCGAATGGAGGTGCGGACCCCTTTGATTTGTTAGTGTGGGGATTCACATTCTTTGGATTGATCATAGTCATCTTTAATGGACCCCTTAGACAGTCTGTGGAGCCCCAAGAGGTCTGTGGACCACAGGTTGAAAACCACAGCTCTAGGGGAAGAGGAGAGCAATGTACTGGCCAGACATAGTACAAGGTTTCCTGAAATGATCAAATAAAAAAATGTGGGTGCATTAGGCTTGCACATCCGTGAATTCTGTAACCCCCCAGTTAGGAGCCTGCAGATTTAGCTGTGCCCTTTTTAACACCGCTATATTTTACAGTGGGATTTCCAAAGCAGCTAAGTGATGTAGGAATAGAGGTAGAGCTGAGCCATCATCCCCAGCCATGGGGAAGGAGAAGGTGCCGGGACTTCTGCTACAGGGTTGTTCTGAACTCACCCAGGCTCTGCCTTATACAAATTGGCTATAATTTGTGCATCTCAGGTTTCAAAGAGCCCAATCAAAGACATGGAGACCCCGATCTCCAAGCACCCAAAGCTCCTGGTATATTTACCTGGAGATGCTCAAACCTCAGGTGCCTCAAGCTAGGCAAAGAGCCTAGGGTGACTGGACCACCGTCATTAATGGCTGAGGCACCAAGCCCGTGAACTTCCAATGCAATGTGCTCTCTACCCAACCGAGCCTCCAAGCACCCCCTACAAAACTGGCACCCAAATAGCACATCTGGAGCTTCTGGGCTTGCTGGATTCACCGTGGGGTAAGGAGAAGTGACTAGGCAGCAATAACAAACTTCCTCCTCTTTCTATCGTCTTATTTTTTGGCACCGGCTGTAGTCCATAGTGGAGGACTGATGCAAGCACCAAGCCATGCAGCAGCGTTGCAGTGGACAAAGCTGCTCTCTGTCCTGAGCAGAGTCCCAGCACACTTGGAGCATGCTGGAGGCTACCAGAATAAGTAGACGCCTGTCACTTAGAGGGAAGGCCACCCTCCTCCCAGCAAGGGTCAGCTAGCCCCTGAGATTTACTGCACCCACAGCTGTACGAGCTCAGCACAATCCCTGCCAGCGCATGTGATACACAATGAAAGGGCACATTCTCCTCTTGTAGTCACCAGGGCTGCGCGGGAGGCAGTCAGCTCAGTGCCACGGGCTGATCTACCCTGTAAAACAACAAGGCCAGGCAGCTGGCAAAACATCACTTGGCGCCCAAGTTATGGCAGAAGCCGTGAATGCAGGCAAGTGAGCATTCAGAGTCCAGCAACCCATGCAAAAAACATAGGACCTCCATGCCCAAAGCTGCATGATCAGTCTGCTGTGATTCTGCAATTGCGCAAGCTCCGGGGTAATGTGGTTTGGGGTTTTTTTTGCAGTGTTGTGAAACTTTGGGAAAGCAGCCCCAGCTGCTAGTGACTGGGTTATGATGCCCAGCCTCAACGTACCAGCTTCTGTTCTCCCATGCAAAGCCAGAATCTCTCTGGAATAGCCACCCGGGAACCCCAGCCCCCAAAACAGGCTGAAGTGGGGGAGAATAGGCGATTATTAGCCATGCCATGTCAAGGAAGGGTCTGATGGATGTGCTGCATTTGTGGTGCCTTTCAGAAATGCAGGCTGTTCTGCTTCCAGCAGGTTTTGGACCTTTTCCCTCATCTCTGTTCATCTCGAAGCCTGTTGACTTCTTAATCTCCAGCTGGGGATCAAATGGTGCTCCCTTTACTTACATGACTACATCGATTGAACTCAGTGAGAAAACTCAAGTTATGGCAGGCCAGGATGCGGCTCTCAAAAAATAAAATATATATATAAATCAATCGACTGGGATCTTCAAGGAGCTCTTGGGAGACAGCACAGCCCAAATCAATGGGATTTAGGTGCCAAACAACCTTGGCTCCATGGGAAATCCCAGCCATAAACGGGATGAACTACTGAGGACCCCGGGGCCCCACACCCGTCACAAAAGGCATCAGGAACTCCTGCCTTTTACAGTTTGTTTCATCATTAGCATTGACTCCATGGCTGAATTGAACAGGGGTTCACATGAGAAGGGACTGGAAGGGATCCTGTATTTCTAGGATGAGGGCATTTTAGGGGGAAAAAAATCCTTTTTACTCTCACCATAAAGCAGCGATTCTCAACCGGCGTGCTGCGACACCCTACGGTGGAGATCCTACAGCCCTGAGATCCTTTCAAGGTGCAATAGGTGTGCAAACACGCTTCACGAGACAAACCCAGAGATTTCAAACAGGAATCCAGAGCGTTACAAACTTTCTGACCTGCTGTGGTCTTTCTGAGATCTTTGCAATGGAAAAAAACTGCTCTATTATTTTTTCTGTAGTGAAAAAAAGAGGAGAGAAAACTAACCTATGCCTCCACTGCAACGTGGAGATTGCTTTCCCTACCTCGCAGGGACGTTTGGTGAAGAAAATCTCTGCCAAATGCCGTTCTGGGAGATACTCAGAAACCATGACCGTGATCATTGTAAGGGTCACATAAGTAGGTCCATAAATATCACAGGACCCTTATTTGTCCTGATCATTTTAAAGATCAAGTTTTACCGGAGAATATCACCAGTTAATGGCGTTTGCCATTCGGGCAGTGGATCTCTGTACCTAACCACTCGTAGACTCACTTGCTCAGAGCTGGTAGTTTGCCTCTTGCGAATACTTCGCTCTAAGGTCTTGAAAGCTTTGTTTCCCCCTGGGCTTATACATGCACTTGCCAGAGGAGATTTATAAAGCCCAAGGGACAATTTGCCCATGGCCTGGCAGAAAGCCTGGGGGTGCGCCGAGCCGAACAGAGGGACAGAGCATGCCCAGCTGTAAATAAGAGCTTACGATGACAACAGAGGTTTATGTTGGATTAAAAGAGCTCTTAACTGATGTCTGGCTGTTAAAAATACAGGCAGCGTACACTGCGGACTAGGAAAGGGCACTAAAAGTTTATTCTCTTCCCAGACTTCAGACCACCTGCTGGCCAGGGTTTCTACAAAAGAGCTGTACCAGCTGCAGGACAGCTTCTAGAAATAATAGGTGACTATAAAAAAAGGTCAACAAAATTTCGGCAGGAGCACAGATGTGAATGATGGAAGAGGACCGGGGTCATGGCGTCCACCTTCCGAACACAATCGTTAGACAGAGGAAGTATCAAGTAGGACGCACTTTGCTTGATCCCAAGGTTTTCCTCCAAAATCCTCCTGTTCCTAACTGCAGCATCCAAAGCAGGGCCTGACCGAGCCCCACAAGATCTCAGTTGCGTGGCTGCACTCTCCTCCCTGCCCCAAGCCACCGGATCCATCCGTCCCTTCCCCGTCACGGCAGTGCCAGGATCTGGAAGTGAGCTGTGCTGTCGTAAGGATGTACCGCAGGCTATGCATGCACACGCATCTTCACACAAAAACATCTCACTTATAGATTCATCTCACTTCTTAGCTCACGGTCCCAGCGTGCGAAGCCTTGGAATCGCACCGGGAAGCCAAGTAGGTTGGTGCTCTCCCCTGCCTTGGGGGTCTTCAAGAGGAGGTTGGATAGAAATCTGGCTGGGGTATGACGACCCCAGCACTCGTTCCTGCCCAGGGCAGGGGGTCGGACTCAATGATCTGCTCAGGTCCCTTCCAACCCTACCAACTATGAAAGCCAGGAATAAATGGGAATAACGCTGGTCTCACTAGCATGCGAGGAACTCACCGATATGCCCAGGTAGTGCTTAGAGACCCACAGAGGGAAACGAAGCTTGTGCTTGTATTAAAGAAGCCCCCATGACAACGTGCACCTCTGCCACGTGCTTGGCAGGCACAGATTGGCAGCGTAAGCCGCTGCGGTTAAAGCCTGGCCCTGCACCCACTTGCCTGCCCAGCGGAAAGCCTCCCCTGTGGGAACCAGGCGAAAGAAGAGCCCTCCGCTTGGCACCAGAGCACCCGGGAGAGGGTTGGCATGCCCTGAGGCAGGAAGCCAAGGAGGCGCTGGGGCGCTGGCCACCCCGCTCCCAGCCTAGCCTGCCCTACCCCACCCCGGGGTGCTCCCCCAGCCACCGGGGCGGCAGGACGCGGCTCTCACCCGTACACGTCGGTGCAGAGCTGGGTGCCCAGCACGCACACCGCCTCGATGCGGCTGCCCTGGTGCAGGCGGAGCGTGCGGGCCTGCAGCATCCCGGCGCCGGCCCGAGCCCGCAGGTGCG